ACTAGGGGGGTTCACTCGATGAAGCGGCAAGTCTCCCATGAGCTGAGCCAAAGCGGAGGGCTGCGCCCGGAAACACTGGACACATTTCCGCACAACTCTTCGAACTGCCTGCCTTCCTGTCACTATCCAGAACCGCTGGCGGGTGTGCGCTAACGTCAGCTGCGCACCTCCGTGCAGAGTCAAAACGTGCGAGTGGCGAATTACCAGCTCAGTGAAATGATGGGAACTTGGGAGTATTATTGGATGCCGGCGCTCATATGGCAAGTTAGAATGCCGTAGTCGCCCCCTCACTCGCAGGATGCCTTCCGACAAGATCGGCGACAAGCTCAAGAGCTTACTTCGCGCGGGTAGCCGTCGTCCATTGGGAACGATTCCCGCTGCACGATGCGCACTATAGCCCCTAAAGCAAAGTCAAGCTCTACAATGGCTAAGGGGCCGATGCGCCTCTCTCCCTTGCCGACAGCATTGTGCCTGAACCGCAACGCATAGGCCGTGACTAAAAAGTAGAAAATCTGCCAACGAACGACGGAAGCGGGACTGCGTGGTGAACTCGTACTTTGGCCGCCTTTGCCTCTAGTGCGGCATCGTTGGTGTCGACCTGCCCGAACTCCATAGAAGGCCAGTCACTCGGACTGCGTATAAGCCACTCAGGGCCTCGACACCATAGGCCAAAGCCCTTCAATTCACCCGGAGACAATCCTCTTGTCGCACAGTCCGCTGGATTCTCAGCCGTGCCCACATGCCTCCATTGCGAGGGCGAAGAATGATCCAGAGTGAACGCGACCCCGTTGGCCACGAACGTCTTCCACCTAGTGATGTCCCCGTACAGCCAGTGGATTGTGGCATCCGTTCAGTAGAACGATTCGAGCCAAAGTAAGCCATTTTACCAGCTTGACGGCCAAAACTGCGCCACTCAGCTCCGTTCTAGGTATAGTGAAGGGCCTTGTGGGAGTCACCCTTGACTTCGAGGCCAACAGTGAGCTATAGCATGCTCCGTCCTCGCACTCGATCCTTAGGTAGACCGAGGCCGCATAAGATGTCGATGAACCGTCGCAGAACGCGTGAAGCTGAGCTGACACTATACATCCAGGGGAATAATGAATCCATATGCTTATGTCATCGATCCTCATCAACCCGTCCCGAAACGTTCGCCACCGTTCTACGAGGGCGTCCGGAACCTCGTCGTCCCACTCCAGCGCCGACTGAGTGCCATCCGCATGCATTTTCTTTGCCATGGTTACCTCCTTTAAAATCAGCTTTCCCACGATGATGACTGGTGATAAGACCCAGTGGATCAAACAGCCTAGCTATGCTCGATAGAATCATCCGTTTGGTAAACCTAGCTGGAATCTCAAAATTGACTTGAAATTTAAAACAGTCCTTATTCCGGAGCCAATACATCCCTAACACCTTAATAGGATCCGTAGTGTCCCAGTTTAAAGGAGTCCGGCTGCACTGATGCTCCGCAGGAATAGAGAGCAAGAGACTGGACTCGTTGCTGGACCATTTCCGCAACTCCATGTGTCCGCTTATCCCTTGCTTCCTCCAACGTGTGACTTCCGAAAGAATATCATACACATATATTTCGCTCATCTGATGCGATCTTCCCAGAACCATAGTTGGATCAATGTAAGTTTTGAAGGGCAACCGTACCACGTAACGGCCATCCGATCGACGAATATGTGTCTTCTGAAAGAAGGCTTCGCACCAGAGGTCCCCCTCCGATGTGAGAGAACGGTCCGGAACGGCCTACACCTCGCAGAAACGCTTGAACAAAGCTTCGGTGTCCAAGAGTACCCGATGACACCGAACCTGAATCGCTTCCCGCACTCCGTCCGCCAAACCAGATAGGATCCACCCAAGGTGAGTGTTCTGAGCTATAGGCTCGCCGGGCAGCCCGATCCTGGTGTCCGGCAACATGATTTGCGCCAACAGGTCCACACCCAAGATGAGGTCGACTCGCTTCGATCGTGAGAAGTTCGGATCCGCCAGCGGGAGCCCTCGTATAAGGCCCCAACGCTGAGGCATGAAGCTGCGATAAGGAAGACAGGAAGTAACCGAATTGAGGATATACGCGGAATCAACGTCTACTGAAAAGTCAGGGTTAACATTATTACGGATTTCAAAATTGACAGTATACTTGCACCGACGACCGCCCCCAGATGCAAGGCCTGTACCACGTACTCCGAGACAATGGTTGCCTCCGATTATTGGTCGACCAGGGCATTTATGACAGCGTGCAGTCCGTTGACCGGGTTCCGCACGGCGATATGAACAGTAGCGAGAAGGACATTTCTCGAAGACGGATCCGATGACGTTGCTGAATAGCATCCGTAAGATGCGCCGAGGTTCCGGTCTGCGCTGTTGAGATACGCTCTCCCTGTCTGCAGGTGCACTAGGAGTCGGCGCCACATGTTGCGGCGGCACACCGCTCGGCGACTGGCTATGAGCCAAAACAGGGAAATGCAACAATGTGTGAGTCTCGGTTCTCAATCGCATCCATTACAACCAGCCGATCGTTTAAAAATGACTCCAACTCTCTGTAGGGTGGAACTGTGGAAAAACTTCCTTGATGGTGCTCCCAAGCGTTGTGGGTCTCCTTTGGTAGCCTCAGTGCTGCGATTCCCCGTCCAAGGCTTGAACGCGGCGAAATGCAGCCAGATTAAACATGCTTAACATCGACCGTATTAACTTTGTGTTGTCCTTCTATAGCCTAGGCAACGCGTATATGGCATTCATGTGGTGGGCAAAAACGAGGCGAGGATTGTTGTACCTCTTGATCATCAATCCCCAAGCCACCGAATAGTTCCCTTCCGTGAGCTGCATCTGACGTATGTCATTATCGCGGTCCCTCGGCAGCGACTCCTTGAGAAACTGCAACTTCTGCACACTACTCAGATTGGCGTTGTTGTGGATTAGGCTCGTGAAGGAATCATAATAGCCTGGCCAATCGACACACGCGCCTGAGAACTTCGGAACCGACATCTGGGGCATGTTCAGCCGCACTTCCGCATCGGCGCCCCCAGACAATGGCGGCGGAGGCGTACAAGCCTCTGGTCCAAGTTTGTCCAACTCCTCCGCGAAAGCGTAATAGGTATCCATGTACCGCTCCTCTAACTCAGACTGGAAATCCTTCGTGGCATAGGCCGACACAGAAAATCCTTCCAGGGTCACGATAACGGAATCCGTCTCCCTAAACTCGCTTCGTAACTCCTCAACTTGTTCCAGCCGTTTCTTCAGGTAAATCCTCGTTTTCCTCGATTGCGAATCCTTTTTAAAATTTTGCGACAGGGATTTCACGGACTGAAATCGATTCGCCTGCAAGTTAACCAGTTGCTCCAAAGTAGGAGCATCCGATCCCGCTTTCATGTTGACCAATGTTGTGAAACCGAACTTCACGCGCAACTCACCACCCCAAATAATAATTTAAATTCAGTAAATTTTATTTCGCACACAACTTGTCTACTTACTCAGTTATGTATACCAGAATCCACCCCAAGACGAAGCGAAGATCAACGACCGTCTCCAAAGTTCAAAAAACTGTCGTCTTGGGCCTATGTATCGCAGTTCTCCTCTTCCGTAATTCGCAGATCCGCCGGCCTGTAGTCTAGGTGCAGCTGTGATTCCGTTATGTCCAAAAGAAGAGAAGAAAACGTCCAGAAAGGTCCAGTAACTTCCGTAGCTGCGTCTATGTATCGCCGTTTTCTTTCTTCTTCACTTTTCGCGGTATGCAGAGCCGACTTGCAAACTTAACGCAGTTGCGATCTAACGGCGCTTATTTACACAGAATTCAGAATTTTCGATTATGTTTGCGATTGCAGCTCCCCTCATGGGCCACCATGTAAAGTTGTGTCCCCTTGTATTTAATTAGCAAAGGGTCATTGTAAGAGAGGTCCCAGGCAATGCAAAACACAAAAGACAAATTCACAAAAATTCACGTTTATTAATATATGACATATGCAAATAGCGTCCCGCGTTAGATGCAACGTGCGCGTTCTCTCGCTTGCCGAAGACGACTGACTTTTTCCCTCTTCCCGCTTTCGTTCTCCCACGCATAGTCCCAAAACGCGAAAGCGATCAGCTCTTGCTCTCCGCTCCCAGCTTCCAGCACACTGGGACAAGCAGAAAACTTATCAAATATCAACAGACAAGCAGCAATATATCAACCACGCAAATTAAATTCACTACTGGGTCGGTTATTAAAAAAATATATTTTTTATTTTACAGATGTTCACCTTATTAACATTTATTTCATTTTCACAAAACACTTAATATTAACTTATATTATCGTGCCCAGTCGTTTTTGTTTCCCAAGAAGACCTGCTCTTGATGAAAATAAATGATTATTCATGAAACCTCGGCTTAAGAGAATTTGTATCTAAAGAGATTAAAAGAGATTATCAAAAGTAAAGAGAATCGGACAATTGGCTGATGCAATAATTGAGAGTTAATAAATCGATTACTCGACAATAATTGGGTTAGCAACTGGCTCCGACTAGATCGGACCCTTCACGGAAAATTTGGGAGCTTTGTTTATGTCTGGCGACATTTGCCTATAGTAGGCCGGATGTGATTCAGGCCCTAGCTTGAGTGAGGGGAGATTTTGCTAGCAATGCTAGAATCAGCGCTTGCTAAGATTGGAAAGCGTCAATTGTTTATGTTAGTCCGAATTTGTTTCTCACAGGGCTCGGTTTAAGTGAGAGGAACTTTTGCTAGCGAAGCTAGAATTTTCAGCGGCTGCTACGATTGCAAAATTGTTTATGAATTTCCTAAGGTCTGAATGTTTTCGGGTTGGATAACATGCACGACCACTTAAAAAGGTTTCATCGTGACTTGTGAAGTAAAACTAGATGAAACGCTATAGTCGAGAGCCGCGACTATAAGATACTCGTTACCGCTTAACACAATTTTAAAATATTAATTTTGCTAGTGGAAATTTACAAGGACCCACCTATTGTCAAAGGAAGCATGTTGAGTAACTGATAGAATATCCTAACTTTCTTTAAAATATCGAAATAATTTTTCGATTTGAAAAATATTTGGTAAATCGATAGATATTGACAAAAAATATGCCTTCGGAACACTAGTTGATATCGTCGCTTGGTTAGCGATATCAAAGACAACAAGAGTGTGTTGGAGATAGTGTTTAGTTCTGAAATATGTAAATGAGTTAGCCTAACCTGAAATACAATAACTTAGCCTATATACCGCAGTTTCTTTCCCCTTTCTCTGTGATGGTGCAAATCGGTTTAGACCGAACCGCCAATTTTAAGCTCGTAAGCTGGATTCAGTGTGACCGAATAATATGACCCTAGAAATCCTCACACAAATAATACTGAATACTAAATTCAACCTTAACTATCGATAGCCCTAATCCATTCAGCGACATCCCCACCCCCATGAAGCAGCCGCATTCACCACGTCCAGGACAGCTAGCTTCGAAACGGGACGCATTGTCGTCTTGGCTCGATCGTTAGTCCGCACCGCCGCTCGATGAGGTACTCCATCTCTTCCGGTGAACACCTCTTCCACGACGCCTCGTTTCCACTCTCTTCGTGGTATAGCCACGTCTTTCCCTTGTCGCTCCTTATCCTGACCACCGGTCTACGGCGGCTCATGAAGTTCCTCATGGCGATTATACAGAAATCTGTAGAAAAATCGTGGGCCAGCTCCAAGTGTATAGCCCTTGTGGTTAGACATGTAAATAATGCCACCCACTTTTTCTCCGTGTGACGTCCAACAGTCACAAATACTGGTAGAAAGAAATCCAGGCCGGTAAACTTAAATGGGCATCCGTTGGCCTCCAGCTGGTCCTCTGGCAGGGGGCCCATTTCGGGCTGCTCTGGTCGCGCCCTTCGTAGCATGCAAACGAGGCATTTGCTCCTCACTTTCCGTAGCAGCCTCCGTAAGTTCGTTATCCAGAACTTCTGCCGGATCGCTCCAATAGTTGTCTCCATATTTTGGTGGCACATCCTTTGATGGTGATGCCGCACAATCATCTCCGCCAGTGCCTCCTTGTGAAAGAGTATGATCGGCCGACGCTGTACGTCACGTACGTCACATCACGTCGTCGATTCTTCCGCTGGCTCGCATTACTCCGTCCTCGTCCAAGTATGAGGACAACCCGTACCGTTGGCTGCCCTTGGCAGCCCTTCCTTAGCTGTCCTCGGCGAACGCTTCTCGCTGCAATTACCTAATCAGTGCACGCTCTGCCTCAGCGTGGTCCTTTCGATCACCCATGCGGTGCTCCTTATCAACCTGTTGTAGCTCGAAAATCTCTGTAAAAATATGAAGCTCGCCGTGACTAGTGTAAACTCACATTTCATCTCCTCTTCATCTGGCGTCGGGGGACTCTAGTCCTCTCTCTTGATCTCGGCCATCTTTTTTCTTGGTCTACCTGGTCTTAGTAGAAATGGTGGACCGCTTAGCCACCGGGAACCAATGCTTAGGTTCACGGCCTTGCGCTTCCTCGTTGCATCATCTGCCACGTTTTCGGCAGACGGAATCCATCTCCATTGGGACGCCTTCGTGAATTCTAAAATCTCTTCCACCCGGTTCCCGACGAACTGTTTGTGTCTCTGGTGGGTACTGCTTATCTATCTAGTGCAGCACGGTCTTAGAATCCGTCCATAATACGCAGCTGCCGATCGCCACACCGTGCTCCTTCTGGATCGGTCTCGTGCCCAGTGCTGTTGCTTGAAGTTCCAGTCGCGGGAACCAGGCTCGGAAACTCCCTCTTCGTAGGAACACGTTGCCCTGTCATGACGCTCCTCGTGACTCGATGATATTTGACGCCGAGCTTGAAGTCATCTGTAGCCGGCTGCCAGTATATTCCTAGTACCTTCTTCTCAGCTTCGGGCCATCTAACGCTAGCTATGGATTCAAGTGGGTTCAACGCTCTGACCACACTTGCCGAACTGAAAGTAAATCGACACAAATCAAACCAAGCATCTGTATTTATTTCTCTCACCCGTGTCGAAACGGCGATAGCTTCTTCTTCACTGATGAAACCTTCGACGTAGTTCCCCACGTAGTAGTATTCGTTGATCACCAGGACTGCTCGCGGATCCGTGCTGCTGGACTGTGATGCATTCACGGTTTTCACATAATCCGCCGAGCATGGTGAGCAGGCCGCTCCGATCGTCATCACCTGCATCTCGAATACGTCGGGCTCCCGACGATCGTCTCCGTTTCTCCACAGGAACCTCTGGGCGCATCTGTCCTGTAGCTGCAATAATATCTAATGAAACATCTCCTTGATGTCTGCACACACCCAAACTGCTCCTTCCCGAAAATGGACAAGCACTGCTGGGAGGGGCTTGTAGCGCTGTGGGCCTTTCATTAGCGCCGAATTCAGTGACACGTTGTTCACCTTGGCAGCCGCTTCGAAGACCAGCAGGATTTTTCCAGGCTTATTCGGGATTTCCGCCCCGAAATGCGGCAGGTACCATGCCTTGCCTTCCTGAGACCACTTGGCTTCTTGCGGCTCCAGTCGTCGTGCTTAACCTTTCTTGATGTAATCATCTATTATTCCCTTGTACGCCCGCGCAAAGTCCACATCGTGCCTCATTTTCCGTTTGATATTGACGAGTCTCTTGAGTGCCATATTGTAGCTCTCTGGCGGTCTCTCCTCGTCGTCTCTCCATAGCAGCCCAGTCTCTTATCGTCGGCCAACTCGCTTTGTTGTCTCCTCCAGGATACTCAGGGCCCGTGCGTCGCCGTCATCTAAACTGACGGCGGCGGCTTCACTCCGCCAGCTGCGACTGACTGTGCCGGCTTCACTCCGAAATTCTCGAAGTAATCACAGACCATCTTCTCTAGAAGATTATCCTGTGGCACTGCTAGGAGGCACGGTCTCTGAAGCGGTGAGGTGGTCTTTCCACTCACCGGTCCATACACCACCCATCCAAGTGCGGTGGCTGCTGCATATGGTCCTCCAGGTCCATAGCTTCTGGTTCTGAGGGGTATTCCTAGATGTGCATGATCCAGTTCACTTAGGATCCTTGGCGTCGCGTTGTTATACGGCTTTACAGGCAGGCGCGCATTCGCCTTCCCTGCCTTCACATCTTCTCGACGCAAGCTCTGCATCGGAAGGTTCAAATTGGTCACTCCGTACGCATTCTTCAGCTCATGGCGCTTTGGCTTGCCCGCTGCACTGATCTGCAGGTTAACCATTCTCGTGCGCTCTTTGGCAGATTTTCCGTCAAACCAATGCACGTTCAGTTGTCGACTCTCACCTTCCAGGTTCAGGCTGCGGATGAGTTCGTAGTCGATGAGCGTGAACGATCCTTCGTCCAGCAGTGCGTAGGTATCACCTGCGAATTCTCTCCGTACAGCGTCATAGGAAGAATCCGCAATAGCAGGTACCTTCAGTCGAATCAACACAACTCAGGTTTCGTTGCGATAATTCCTGGCGGTCGCATGTCGATCGCCTCTCGTCCTCCTCGCGTCCCGCGTCTATAACTGCGGCTGACGTAGGCAGGCTCTTCTTGCTGGAATCCACTCACTGAGGCATTCGTAGCCGACGGCTGCTGTCTCTGTACAGCTGCCGGTCCTGACTGCCGCCCGAGATGTCCAGCTGGTTCATGGAGTAGGTACTAATGCCTCATTCGGCCACCGTAGACGTTGAATCGGTGTTCCTTCTTGCAGAACCGGGCCATATGTCCATACTCCAAATATGAAAAACATAACCTCAACTTCCTAGCGGACTCGATCCGTGTCGTTGTACAAGCGTGGTTGTATTCCTTACAGTCCTTGATTTCATGTTGTCAGGGCAACATCTGTGGCGGTCTGCATACCGCTCCTCCTCGCGAACAGTATTCGCGTGAAGAACCCTTCGCTTCGGGTGTTCCTTGATTTCGACGTCCGTGACAGTATACAACAATTTGGCGAATTCATGAAGCCAATCGCTCAGGCGTACAACTGTCGGATACGGCTGTATCGTAGCCGCGTGCTTCGCCCAGTCCAACCACTTTCTCACCGGCAACTTGGCAATCAGCTCCTCCATTATGGTTGGGTTCCCTATGTGCTGGTTGCCAGTCATGGTTGACTGCAGGAACGCTAGGTTGCTTACCTTAAAGGCGAACGGCACGATGCTTGCGATGTTGGCCTCTTGAATTGGCTGGACATCCCGCACGCTCTCCAGTTGGCTATGAATCAATAGGTGCGGACGTCCATAACGGAATCGTAGCTGCTCCATAACAGCTTGCACACTGCTGGGGTGGATAAGCCACGACTTCACTGCTGCTCGGGCCTCGCCCTTCAGGGCTTTCACTAGCCTCTGGTTACTCTCCAGTTCTGTACACTGGTTAGCTGGTTTGCCCAATGGCCGCCAAGCGTCCGTGCCAAATTTCCACTCAATTGTGGCGGCAAATTTGTACTCACTTCAAGCTCTAGTTGCAGATTGTCACTCATTATCTGCCTGGGCAGGTTCTCACTCGAACTCTTCCGTGGGGCTGCTCTCAAACATGGCAGCATTCCACTCAAACATGGCGGTGTATTCGCCGCACTGCTCACGTTAACGCCGCGTGTCCCGATTCCAACGGGATCCCTGGCATCCGCTGCTTGTCCTTCACTTGCCCTTGCCTTTACCAGCTCCGATTCTAAATGTGGGATCCTTCCCATTAGGGCCGCCACTTCTACAGTCGTGGAGTCCGTAATTTGCACCGTTGCATTGGGCTGCAGGTTTCTTGCCGCTTTCCTAGCGGCTGTTCCACTTTCCTTCGGAGTCTGTGGCCGTTGCCGATCACCAGCCACCATTGCAGAGCTAGCCTGGTTGGCAGTCGCCGTGGATGCGGTGGTCGCAGTGGCGGGAACACCCGAGACATCCAGTCTGGGGCTCCGTCAGGGCGAGTGCTTTGTGAATATCATCTCGCAGAGTGCGAATAAAGGATAATGTCGCCGCTCGGCCGATCACGGGGAAAAGCCTTTGGAACAATAGTTGATATCGCCGTTTGGTTAGCGATATCAAAGACAACAAGAGTGTGTTGGAGATAATGTTTTATTCTGAAATATGTACATTAGTTAGCCTAACCTGAAATACAATTACTTAGCCTACTTACCGCAGTTTCTTTTCCCTCGATCACGGGGAAGTGCCTTCGGAACATTAGTTGATATAACCGCTTGTTTAGCGAAATCGAAGACAACAAGAGTGTGTGTTGGAGATAGTGTTTTATTCTGAAATATGTAAATTAGTTAGCCTAACCTGAAATATAATTACTTAGCCTACATACCGCAGTTTCTTTTCCCTCTCTCTGTGATGATGCAAATCGGTTTAGACCGGGCCGCAAATTTTAAGATCGTAAGACGGAATTAGTGTGACCGAGTAATGTGACCCTAGAAATTCTCACACAAATAATACTGAATACTAAATTCAAACTTAACTATCGATAGCCCTAATCCGTTCCGCGACAGTTATATAACGTCAAACGAAGAAATATAGTAATATAATATTATGAAGGCCAAAGTTTTCGCGGTTTGTGGGCGTTATAGTAGGCGTGGCAGGATGCTGAAATAAACTTGCGTTGCTTATGGAGCTCAGAAATCTGCCGGCTTAATCTCTGTATCTCTTATTTTTCCTCTAATCTTAGACGGACATGACCTAATCGAATTCACTATTGATACGTATCAAGAATATATATACTCTATGGGGTCGGAAACGCTTCCTTCTGACTGCCGTCCTTTAAACTTGGTGGGCGTATGGGTGTGTGTGGCCGAATAATAGTACCACTATAAGATGCGCTGACATCCAAAGATTATACATACAGAATTTCAAGCTCTAAGAGTTCCTAGGATTTCAGTGATTTTAGTTTTTCGCGATTTGTGGGCGTTAGAGTGGGCGTGGCAGGATGCTGAAATAAACTTACTTATGGACCTCAAGAATCTTCATGCTTAATCTCAACTTTGTATCTCTTATAGTTAATGAGATCTCAGCGTTCATACGGACAGACGGACATGGCTCAATCGTTTTCGCTATTGATCCTATATATACTTTATAGGGTCGGAAACGCTTCCTTCTATCTGTTATATATTTTGGAGAGGAGACAAGTCAGTCTCTCGTTAGACCGAGAATATGGTGTGACCATAGGGCGAGCTAGGATATACCAGTTCTGGTATGATGGGGACTTAGTTTGCGAACTGAGGCCGTGTGTAGCTTCGTTGTGTTGCTGCATCTGCTCTCATTATTATTCATCCCGAGTTTTAGCGTGGCGTTCTGTTTTAGCGTGGTGTTATGTTGAGGACTGTTGAGTAAGTAGCGGCTATGAGCAACAAAGGCAACGAAGACTCGCAGCACCATCAAGGACTTGAAATGGAGGAGCAGCAAGCTAGCGATCAAGCGTTTGATGAGGCCCGGCGTGCAGAAGACTTTAATTCTCCGACATCAGAAGTGGCATTCGGCTCTAACCATACTTTTTCTAGAGACGTATTCGCTCTGTTAGAATAACGAAACCGGAACTTTCTGGAACTGGATAAGAAGCTACAGACGCCGGCGAGTGAGTTGCAACAGACTAGCGAGATTTTCCTGCCGAAATATAATCTGGACGTTGTTGGTATGGATGACACGCAGTGGTGCGCTACGGTCGACATCATCTTACGAGAAAAACCATTAAGTCACAGCGCTCTTATATTAGCGTTAAGTAAAGCTTTGGAAGGCACAGCGGCGCAATGGTTATTTCAAATATGTTACCCGGGAATAACTTAGCATCAGTTTTGGCAATTGTTTGAGGAGCGCTACGAGACTTCAGAGATGCCAGCCGCCGTCATTTTAAATCTTCTTAATAGCCGTCCAAGCAACGGTGAAAGCCTGCATGTTTTTGCAAGTCGCAGTGTGACGTCACTGTGCACAAAACTGCGTAATTTGAATCCTGAACAAATATCCATCACGCTGATTCTTGGGCACATTGCTAATTTGGATCGGCGTTTGCAGCGAATGATACACACAACGCATGCTAACAATCGACGTGAACTGCAAGCGGAGCTGCAAGCATTCTCAGTGCTAAGGGAGCGCCCAAATTCAACGAACTCGGATCCAGAGACGAAGCGAGCTAAATCTGCGGAAATCAAATGTTACCAGTGTGGAAAACTAGGCCACAAAAGGCAAGACTGTAGATCTGGATCTCAGGGTTTGACAAATGGAAAGGAGTGGCGGTCAGTGCAGCCTCGTGATGGAAGGACAAACGTAACGTGTTACAGATGTCAGGAGCCGGGACACATAGCCACAAATTGTCAAAAAAAAGTACAGAATGCTGGATTGGGGGTGAGAACGGAAAAAAGAGTGGAGCTATGCGCTATAGTGGAGCCCCAATCGAGTATGCTAGTCAATGGTGAGAGATTTCCAATTACTTTTGATTCGGGAGCTGAGTGCTCATTAAAGCGTTTCTAATAAGTTAGTTGGTAAGAGAATTCATAGCGTTATTTTTTTAAAGGGGATAGGTAATGCCAATACCTACAGTACAGCACCTACAGTACAATCAAATATCATGATTAATGCCAACTCCTTGGCTGTTTTGTTTCATATAGTACCAGACGAATGTATGAAAAATAATATTGTAATCGGCAGGGAAATATTGGCTCAAGGGTTTTTAGTAGAAGTCTCCTATGATAATTTCAAAGTTGTTCAAACTAAAGTTGTAAAGATTTGTGAAATCATTCAGCCTACTAATTTTGATAAAATTGAATTGGAAATGGTCGAAAATGAAAAAGAAACTTTAATATCATTGCTAAAGTAACATTCTCTATCTTTTATCAAAGCCACACCGCAAACTCGTGTTTGGGGAAATTCATATTCGTTTAATTGGCTCGACTAAGACTGTGCAAAGGCGACCATACAGATTTAGTCCAAGCGAACGGGAGTTAGTACGTGCTAAAATTAAAGAATTTATCGAATATAAAGTCATCAGACCTAGGAACTCACCATTTGCGAGCCCTGTATTGTTAGTAAAGAAGAACGACTGTTTGGCAAGACTTTGCGTTGATTATAGGGAATTAAATAGAAATACCGTAGCTGATAAGTTTCCATTACCTTTTATATCGATCAAATAGCTAGATTTAGTGGAGCCAAATATTTTACTTCTCTTGACATGGCTAGCGGGTATTACCAGATTTCAATGCACCCTGAATCAATCGAATATACTGCTTTTGTTACCCCTGATGGACAATACGAATTTCTTGCGATACCTTTTGGATTAAAAAACGCACCCTCAGTGTTCCAGAGAGCTGTATTAAAGGCGCTTGGCAGTTACTCGTTTGTAATTGTTGATATGGATGATTTATTAATTGTTTTAGAAACGAAGGAAGAAGCGTATGAACGTTTGAAACTTGTATTAGAAATTTTAGTGGAGGCAAGATTCTCTTTTAACATTTCAAAGTGCTTTTTCATGAGATCTAGCAGGGGAGATACGTCCAAATTCTAACAAAATAGAATCCCTAGTGGCGTTGCCCCCATCAAAGTCAGTCGCTTCTTTAAGACAGTTCATTGGGCTAGCGTCATATTTTCGTCAATTCATTCCGGGGTTTTCTCAGCTGATGAAACCTTTATATTTTGACACATCTGAAAAGACTAGTTTTGATTGGCAAACGCGACACGAACAAATTCGCAGTAAAATCGTAAGTGTATTAACAAATAAGCCTGCCTTGATTATTTTTGACCCGCAATTTCCCATAGAGCTGCATTACATGTAGAGTTTTAAAGGGTACTTCAGGAAAACCTAAAATGGAATTACACCCAATTCCAATAGTGAGCATTTCTTGGCACACTGTTCACATAGATATCTTAGGAAAATTGAGCGGGAAAAGCGATCGGAAAGCATATATCATTGTACAAATGGACGCTTTTACAAAAGACGTTTACCTATTTCACACCTTTTCCTTGGATGCTAATACTTGTATAAATGCAATGAAATCTTCGATTGCCATTTTTGGCGTGACAGCACGTTTGATTGCCGATCAGGGGCGCAGCTTCACGGGCACAAAGTTTGTGCAATTTTGTCCTAGCCAAAAAATACAATTACATCTAATTGGAACGGGCGCAAGTCGAGCCAATGGTCAAGTTGAAAGAGTCATGAGTACCCTGAAGCATCTTTTGACTGTTGAGACATGCTCTATATCGTGGCAGGATGCACTAGGGGATGTGCCGTTGACTCTTAACTGTACAGTTAATCGTAGCACTAAGTAGTCCTTTGGAACTTTTGATTGGTAAACTTGGGCGACCACTAGGGTTGATACCTATTGGTAGTGCCGAGGATGAAATTGACAAGATTAAATCAAGGGAGTACGCTGCTGGGAGCATGGAGGAGGCCGCTAGATATGAGAAGGCAAAATTTGATACAAATGTGGCTAAAGTAATGGGGTTCTGTGTGGGGGACTTTGTGCTGCTTAAAAACAGCGAGAGACGGCAAACGAAACTAGATCCTAAGTTTAGAGGACCCTTTTTGGTGGTCGAGGTATTGGAGGGAGGTCGATACGTTTTAAAGTCTACACAGAATAATAGGCGTTGCAAGTGCCCACACGAAAGTTTTCGAAGGTTGCCGGATGTGCGAATTCCTGAGGAGCTTGATGTAAATTATAAAGAACAAAGTCAGTTGGAAAAGCCTGTTGAAAAAGAGTATTCGTGAAGCCATGATTGGCGATGAACGAGAGTTGTTTTAGTGTTGTGTTTGATGAATTCGTGACGCCAAGTGTTGGGCGATGGACGAGTGATGTGTTTGATGAATTCGTGAAGCGAAGTATTGGGCGATGGACAAAAAATGTGTTTGATGAATTCGTGAAGCCAAGTGTTGGGCGATGGACGAGTGATGTGTTTGATGAATTCGTGAAGCCAAGTGTTTGGCGATGGACAAGAAATGTGTTTGATGTCTTCGTGAAGCCAAGTGTTTGGCGATGGACGAGTGACATGTTTGATGAATTTGTAAAGCCATGTGTTTGGCGAAGAATTTAGGGGTTGGCTTGTAAAAGTTAAGTTAAGTTGTGTTAAGGAGCATCATATGAATTTGAGATTGTGTGGTTAAGTTTTTGGAAGCAAGAAGAGTAAAGGTTGTAAAGTGGAATGAAATTCACATGTTTATTATAGACACGAGGACGTGTATATGTCAGGATGGCCGTGTCGGAGAGGAGACAAGTCAGTCTCTCGTTAGACCGAGACTATGGTGTGACCATAGGGCGTGCTAGGATATACCAGTTCTGAAATGATGAGGACTTAGTTTGCGAACTGAGGCCGTGTGTGGCTTTGTTGTGTTGCTGAATCTGCTCTCATTATTATTCATCCCGAGTTTTAGCGTGGCGTTCTGTTTTAGCGTGGTGTTATGTTGAGGACTGTTGAGTAAGTGGTGGCTATGAGCAACAAACGCAACGAAGACTCGCAGCACCATCAAGGACTTGAAATGGAGGAGCGGCAAGCTAGCGATCAAGCGACTGATGAGGGCCGGCGTGGAGAAGTCTTTAATTCTCCGACATCAGAAGTGGCATTCGGCTCTAACCATACTTTTTCTAGAGAAATATTCGCGCTGTTAGAATAACAAAACCGGAACTTTCTGGAACTGGTTAAGAAGCTACAGACGCTTGCGAGTGAGTTGCAACAGACTTGCAAGATTTTCCTGCCGAAATATAATCCGGACATTGTTGGTATGGATGACACGCAGTGGTGCGCTACGGTCGACATCATCTTACGAGAAAAACCATTAAGTGACAGCGCTCTTATATTAGCGTTAAGTAAAGCTTTGGAAGGCACAGCGGCGCAATGGTTATTTCAAATATGTTACCCGGGAATAACTTGGCATCAGTTTCGGCAATTGTTTAAACAGCGCTATGAAACCTAAGAGACGCCAGCCGCCGTCCGGGTGCTCCTTGATTTTGACGTCCGTGACAGTACACAACAATTTGGCGAATTCCTGAAGCCAATCGCTCAGGTGTACAACTGTCGGATACGGCTGTATCGTAGCCGCGTGCTTCGCCCAGTCCAACCTCTTGCTCACCGGCAACTTGGCAATCAGCTCCTCCATTATGGTTGGGTTCCCTATGTGCTGGTTGCCGGTCGTGGTTGACTGCAGGAACGCTAGGTTGCTTACCTTAAAGGCGAACGGCACGATGCTTGCGATGTTGGCCTCTTGAATTGGCTGGACATCCCGCACGCTCTCCAGTTGGCTATGGATCAATAGGTGTGGACGTCCATAACGGAATCGTAGCTGCTCCATAAGAGCTTGCACACTGCTGGGGTGGATAAGCAGCGACTTCACTGCTGCTCGGGCCTCGCCCTTCAGGGCTTTCACTAGCCTCTGGTTACTCTCCAGTTCTGTACACTGGTAAGCTGCAGTTGTCTCCGTGAACGCACAAGAATATTGACCATTCTTCTGGCTGACCCTCGAACTCGGGAAGATCAGGCAATCTTCGTCGTGTCCATCTAGGTATGCTCATCGACGCCATTCAAGATGATAGGAGCGATGGTGCAGGTGCCTCCAAATTATGTGTCGGCTCCCGTGACGGGTGAACATAACCATGTTTAGGCTGCGCCGTGGTAACACAAAAGGGTGGAGAATATCTTACTGTTGTTGTTGTACAAGACTGTGTGACAGGTTGTCCGTTTGCCCAATGGCCGCCAAGCGTTCGTGCCAAATTTCCACTCAATTGTGGCGGCAAATTTGAACTCAATTGTGCCAGCAACTGCTCATCGAAAAGATGGCGTCACTTCAAGCTCTAGTTGCAGATTGTCACTCATTATCTGCCTGGGCAGGTTCTCACTCGAACTCTTCCGTGGGGCTGCTCTCAAACATGGCAGCATTCCACTCAAACATGGCGGTGTATTCGCCGCACTGCTCACGTTAACGCCGCGTGTCCCGATTCCAACGGGATCCCTGGCATCCGCTGCTTGTCCTTCACTTGCCCTTGCCTTTACCAGCTCCGATTCTAAATGTGGGATCCTTTCCATTAGGGCCGCCACTTCTACAGTCGTGGAGTCCGTAATTTGCACCGTTGCATCGTGCCGATCACCAGCCACCATTGCAGAGCTGGCCTGGTTGGCAGTCGCCGTGGCTGCGGTGGTCGCAGTGGCGGGAACACCCGAGACATCCTGTCTGGGGCTCCGTCGGGGCGAGTGCTTTGTGGGCATCATCTCGCAGAGTGCGAATAAAGGATAATGTCGCCGTTCGGCCGATCACGGGGAAATGCCTTTGGAACAATAGTTGATATCGCCATTTGGTTAGCGATATCAAAGACAACAAGAGTGTGTTGGAGATAATGTTTTATTCTGAAATATGTACATTAGTTAGCCTAACCTGAAATACAATTACTTAGCCTACTTACCGCAGTTTCTTTTCCCTCGATCACGGGGAAGTGCCTTCGGAACATTAGTTGATATAACCGCTTGTTTAGCGATATCAAAGACAACAAGAGTGTGTGTTGGAGATAGTGTTTTATTCTGAAATATGTAAATTAGTTAGCCTAACCTGAAATATAATTACTTAGCCTACATACCGCAGTTTCTTTTCCCTCTCTCTGTGATGATGCAAATCGGTTTAGACCGGGCCACAAATTTTAAGATCGTAAGACGGATTTAGTGTGACCGAGTAATGTGACCCTAGAAATCCTCACACAAATAATACTGAATACTAAATTCAAACTTAACTATCGATAGCCCTAATCCGTTCCGCGACAGTTATATAACGTCAAACGAAGAAATATAGTAATATAATATTATGAAGGCCAAAGTTTTCGCGGTTTGTGGGCGTTATAGTAGGCGTGGCAGGATGCTGAAATAAACTTGCGTTGCTTATGGAGCTCAGAAATCTGCCGGCTTAATCTCTGTATCTCTTATTTTTCCTCTAATCTTAGACGGACATGACCTAATCGAATTCACTATTGATACGTATCAAGAATATATACTCTATGGGGTCGGAAACGCTTCCTTCTGACTGCCGTCCTTTAAACTTGGTGGGCGTATGGGTGTGTGTGGCCGGATAATAGTACCACTATAAGATGCGCTGACATACAAAGATTATACATACAGAATTTCAAGCTCTAAGAGTTCCTAGGATTTCAGTGATTTTAGTTTTTCGCGATTTGTGGGTGTTAGAGTGGGCGTGGCAGGATGCTGAAATAAACTTGCTTATGGATCTCAAGAATCTTCATGCTTAATCTCAACTTTGTATCTCTTATAGTTCCTGAGATCTCAGCGTTCATACGGACAGACGGACATGGCTCAATCGTTTTCGCTATTGATTCTATATATACTTTATAGGGTCGGAAACGCTTCCTTCTATCTGTTATATATGTCGGAGAGGAGACAAGTCAGTCTCTCGTTAGACCGAGACTATGGTGTGACCATAGGGCGAGCTAGGATATACCAGTTCTGGTATGATGGGGACTTAGTTTGCGAACTGAGGCCGTGTGTGGCTTCGTTGTGTTGCTGAATCTGCTCTCATTATTATTCATCCCGAGTTTTAGCGTGGCGATCTGTTTTAGCGTGGTGTTATGTTGAGGACTGTTGAGTAAGTGGCGGCTATGAGCAACAAAGGCAACGAAGACTCGCAGCACCATCAAGGACTTGAAATGGAGGAGCGGCAAGCTAGCGATCAAGCGACTGATGAGGGCCGGCGTGGAGAAGACTTTAATTCTCCGACATATTCTTGTCAACGAATCTAGTATACCCTTTTACTCTACGAGTAACTGGTATAAATATCATTCTTGGTTACGAAATAATGTTAAGCACAACGATCACATTAAAATTGTGATTTTAAATGATTGAATATATCTAAAAAATCGTTTTTTTCATTTTCCTATGGATTTCCCAAAATGGATTTTTTTGGACGTACAAAATACATATTTTTCGATCGTATGTTATGATCGGGATTACGAATACTGCACCTTTAAAGGTCACCTTATCCTGAGGAGCTCCAAGGGAAAAGAAAAGGACGTGCTTGACATTACTTTAGGCACGTGCCTCGAATTAAGTAGGTCCCTCACTTCTCGGGATTCCCTCGACCTAGTTTTCGAAAAGTGACGAAGGTGCTCGTCTCTAGACTTGCACACTAGCGTGGAGGGACGGCGCGTGGATTCCCGGAAAGATAACTAAGGCCAGGGTGCCTCCCACTTGGAACGGACTCACTGGCGTACTCCGGAGCTGGCGGGATTGCGGGTCGGTTGAGGGCTATTGCCGCTGAGAGAATTGGCGCCATGAGACCGGCAGGAACGGGTTCCGCCGAGGTTACGGCCGACAGAATCTTCCACTCCTTCCACGTTAGTCCTCCTCCAAGAAAAATGTTGCCGGGACGCCTCTAGCGCCTCTAGCAACCCGATTATTAGGTTCGGCCTAAAAGTAGACTTTAAAGGAAAAGAAAAAAGAACCCTAAAATGTTAATGTTAATGTTAATGTTAATGTTAATGTTAATGTTAATGTTAATGTTAATGTTAATGTTAATGTTAATGTTAATGTTAATGTTAATGTTTAATGTTAATGTTAATGTTAATGTTAATGTTAATGTTAATGTTAATGTTAATGTTAATGTTAATGTTAATGTTAATGTTAATGTTAATGTTAATGTTAATGTTAACGTTAATGTTAATGTTAATGTTAATGTTAATGTTAATGTTAATGTTAATGTTAATGTTAATGTTAATGTTAATGTTAATGTTAATGTTAATGTTAATGTTAATGTTAATGTTAATGTTAATGTTAATGTTAATGTTAATGTTAATGTTAATGTTAATGTTAATGTTAATGTTAATGTTAATGTTAATGTTAATGTTAATGTTAATGTTAATGTTAATGTTAATGTTAATGTTAATGTTAATGTTAATGTTAATGTTAATGTTAATGTTAATGTTAATGTTAATGTTAATGTTAATGTTAATGTTAATGTTAATGTTAATGTTAATGTTAATGTTAATGTTAATGTTAATGTTAATGTTAATGTTAATGTTAATGTTAATGTTAATGTTAATGTTAATGTTAATGTTAATGTTAATGTTAATGTTAATGTTAATGTTAATGTTAATGTTAATGTTAATGTTAATGTTAATGTTAATGTTAATGTTAATGTTAATGTTAATGTTAATGTTAATGTTAATGTTAATGTTAATGTTAATGTTAATGTTAATGTTAATGTTAATGTTAATGTTAATGTTAATGTTAATGTTAATGTTAATGTTAATGTTAATGTTAATGTTAATGTTAATGTTAATGTTAATGTTAATGTTAATGTTAATGTTAATGTTAATGTTAATGTTAATGTTAATGTTAATGTTAATGTTAATGTTAATGTTAATGTTAATGTTAATGTTAATGTTAATGTTAATGTTAATGTTAATGTTAATGTTAATGTTAATGTTAATGTTAATGTTAATGTTAATGTTAATGTTAATGTTAATGTTAATGTTAATGTTAATGTTAATGTTAATGTTAATGTTAATGTTAATGTTAATGTTAATGTTAATGTTAATGTTAATGTTAATGTTAATGTTAATGTTAATGTTAATGTTAATGTTAATGTTAATGTTAATGTTAATGTTAATGTTAATGTTAATGTTAATGTTAATGTTAATGTTAATGTTAATGTTAATGTTAATGTTAATGTTAATGTTAATGTTAATGTTAATGTTAATGTTAATGTTAATGTTAATGTTAATGTTAATGTTAATGTTAATGTTAATGTTAATGTTAATGTTAATGTTAATGTTAATGTTAAGTCCGGCTTATCGTTCATCAGCTGACTAAAGCTAGCCCAGAGCTGCATTCTAACCCCCAAATTTTCCCTAGAATATCTATATCTCGCATTGGCCAACAATATTGACATATGCGGGAGCGCCAGCACCTGGGAGTGGGGACACGATTTTTACATCATAAGCGGATCTAAAGATGTACCTTACAAAGTGACTTATAAAGAGAATTGAACCATATCTACCTGCAGCCGCGGCAGAACAAACAATACGAGGTGTGTTCAAAAAGTAAGGTGACTCTTCAAATTTCGCGAATTTCAAATTTTACGATTATCGAAACCTTTTAGAAGTTATACGAGGTGTGTTCAAAAAGTAAGGTGACTTTTCAAATTTCAAATTTTTCAAATTTTTCGATTATCTTCAGTTTTGGGAACAAGAAAAAGTCACATGGGGCCAAATCCGGTGAATATGGTGGCTGAGGCATTATTGTGGTGTTGTTTTTGGCCAAAAAATCCAAATCCTTTGATCCATATTTTTCGATAGCAAAAAATCGCTGAGCTCGCAAAATAACTTGTAACTTTACGCCTCTCACAACCAAACAAAAGAGGATGTTCCATTGAAACTTGGTACAGATGTTAGGGAAGAGTGTACCAATATAACAAAACAAAAAAATCGATAATCGAAAAATTTGAAATTCGCGAAATTTGAAGAGTCACCTTACTTTTTGAACACACCTCGTATAACGAAGAATATGTAGAAATCAGTGAAATCAGGCTTACATAACCTGAAAACCTTTCAAGCTCTCCTGCTGCTCTAGTCCGTCTAACATTAACAAGAAGTTCGAAACATGCAAAAATGAATCAAAAGAAAGAAAATGGATGTAAAGAAAGAAGAGTGGCACAAGCTAAAATTTTAATTATTTAAAGGAAAATGTTTAAAGTCTGGAATTTATTTTTATCCAGAGTGTGAAAATTCACATTTTTTTCAGGTTTAAATTAAACTTTAATTGGGCGATCATAATGTTAATTTTCCATCAGTTCTAACTAGAAAAAAAAGAAAAAAAAACACATAAGCGCTTGAAAGTTTTGAAGTGAAGGGATGCATAGAATATTTTCTCATTAAATTTCGCCTTCACAACTACCGCCGGGATATCGATCTTTTGCCGCTGGAATCAAGTTAATGGCAGTGAGTTTGTTTTGTGTATCTATATATATATGATCAATGCATATCCGTTTGCTTAGCACCCTTTGAGTTGAACAAGTAATAAAATTATCCACGGAAAAAAAAGAAAACGAATTAAAAGAAGAAAGAAACGAATTATGTCGACAGCCTCTTGGAAAAAAAAATTTTTTTTAAATAAAATTAGATTAAAGTGTCAGTTTGGTAGAGTTAATAGGAGAAAAAAATGAATTTAAAGCAATTAAATTTACATATTGATCGTTGAAGTAGAAGATCTCATTACGTTATTTTTCTACTTTTTTTCCTTCTTTTTGTATTGATAATATTGTTAGAATATTCTGTTACCTATTTTTCTTAAACCCGAAAATGTATGAAATCTTATATATATTTAATTAATTAAATTGTACTTAAAATGAACCTTGAGTAGTTCACTCCCTTTTTTAACTCTGCTGATGTTTCCACAATCGTAGGGTAATAGAACCGTAGGGTAATCTGAAGGTTGGTGATCATAGGTTGGGCGTGGGATCGCTGTTCTATTTCCTGTTCCGGTTTCGATTCTCGCATTTTATTTTCGTCAGCCCATTCATTTCTGGTTTTAAAAATAATAATAAGTAGCTAGTGTGAGGATTTGTCCTCCGGACCCTATAGTGTGCACTCGCAAAGACAAATCCCAGAACTCACTAAAAAATTGTTCTTTACACGCTACAATTTCCACGGGTCCCCGGGTACTCTGAGGAACCACACCGTGAATAAAAAAAGGTTTTTATCTGTGACACTAAATCACTTTATAAAAATCTGGGTCGAGAGCACGGTTTCAAATTGGATAGTCCAGATCCGCAATAGCATACATACCGCGGCTCGCCATTTTGGGTCAATGTGGGTCATTGGACGATCCAGACCCGGTTAAGAGAATCACCGGGTCGAACCGGGATTCTTTTAAATAGGTAGATCGCCCAATGACCAACAAAAGAAGGCGGCACACGTTCTGACTGCCTAACCTATCGATATCTCCCCTCTTCCGCCGGTTCCAACTTGAAATGGTTTGCGTTTTCAAAATAATATAGGGTAAGATTAGGAATTTGGTTTGGTTTATCGGTAGAGAAATAAGATGTGTGAATTGATAAATTTCTTTCATAAAAATAAAATGTCAAATTCCAATATGTCGAGAATGTGTTCGTTAGCT